TGGGATGAACCTATCCGGTGGACAGCGTCAGCGCGTAGTATGTTAATTATTATTGTGGGTTGTTCCTGTCAAGTCGCTAATTGACGCAGGCTCTTGCACGTGCGGTATACTCACGATATGATCTGGTAATCCTCGATGACCCGCTCAGTGCCTTGGACGAAAATGTCGCAGAGCAGATTTCTGATAGACTACTGGGCCCCAGGGGGCTATTCAAGAATATGAACGCAGGTGTTCTGCTCATGAGCAACACCAGTAAGTCTACTTTTTTCTAAAGCCAGTCAGATTTTTCTAATCCGTCATAGCAAAGCTCTTCCCCATGGCAAATAAATTACTGGTTCTGCAAAGATCGGAGGCACGCCTCCAGGATCCTAGCACCGTTCAGCAGGGAAAAATTCCGGGTAGCCTTGTTCCCTCCGCTGCAAGCGATCAGACTACCCAGCCATCAGAGCTGTATTACAGAAAGGCTCCTGGTCAAAGCCAGCGAAACGATAATGCCACCGAAGACTTATCACGGAAGGCTGGCGATATTGCTCTCTATGGTAGATTCTTTTCTATCAAGTTGTACAATGCGTGCTAATTCATACACAGGGTACTACTTCAATGCTGTTGGTTACCGAAATGCCTTTCTGATGACAGTCTGCACCGCCACATATTCATTCTGCTTGACCTTCTCACAGTATGTTCTGAGATGGGCAACAGAGTCTTCGTCTGGGGAGCTTAATGGATATATGGGGCTCTATGCAGGGATTTCATTCATTGCGTGGGCAGCAACCAGTGGAACGATGTGGTTGGTTACCCTGTGTACTAACTTGGCTTCGCTAACATCGAACATATGGAAGGTTTACGCAGATGAAGGTTGCGATTCGCTCGGGTATAGTGTTACATTCCCAGCTGCTTGAGCGGGTACTCGGGTCAGCCTTCACCTCCCTTTTATCACACTACTTTGCTGATGCAGGGTACCTAAATCCAGAGCACCATTGTCCTATTTTGCAGAAACACAGATCGGCATCACTTTAAACAGGTTCTCCCAAGACATCGCGTTGGTGGACAAGCAACTACCCTCCGCTCTCGCCAATTTAAGCACCCGTAAGCTTTCAATCCACCCTCTCAGTCACATTGTCCTAACAAGGTCTGTTCCAGAAATCTTCAAGCTACTAATGCAGGTAGCCTTAATTGTGTATGTACAGCCGGTGATGCTTGCTATGATACCACCATGTTACATACTGGTCTACCTCATTCAAAAGGTCTACCTTCGGACCTCCCGTCAGTTGCGCTTTCTGGACCTAGAGTCAAGGTCGCGCCTGAACACCAATTTCCTAGATACAGTATGCTCAATATGCTCTTGTCGTTCGCCATACATCTCCATAATAAGTCATGTCTAATATATCCCAGACCAGTGGTGTAACCACGATCCGTGCTTTCGGTTGGCAGGACAAATTCGCCACCGAAAATATCCAGGCACTGGACATGTCACAAAAGCCATACTACCTGCTTCTCTGCTTGCAGTGCTGGCTTAAAATTGTGCTGGACTGTATAATGACAATCATTGCCATAGGTCTGATAACACTTACGGTCATGTACCGGAACTCCACGGGGGCTGATGTCGGAATGGCCTTAAATTTAATGATTGGGGCCAACACCACGCTATTACGGTTAGTCCAAAACTGGACATCCTTGGAGACCTCGCTTGGCGCTGTTGCTCGACTGAAAGATGTGCAGGAATGTGTACCGAGCGAAGATGCTGCTAAAGGTGCTCTAGAGCCAGGTCCAAAGTGGCCATCAGCAGGAGACCTACGTACCGAGAATATCACGGTGTCATACTCCCAGGAGTCAGAGCCCGGTCTGCGCAATGTATCATTTCGAGTCAATCCGGGACAGAAACTCATTGTCATGGGTCGGACAGGAAGGTATGATCAGTCATTCCAAATATTTCATGCACCAGCTCACTTGTTGGCTATAGCGGTAAGAGCACACTTATGCTCTCCTTACTCCAGCTTCTCGAGACCAAACACGGATTCATTTCCATCGACGACATCAACATCGCACACGTGCCTCTACAGATCCTTCGACAACGCGGCATCATCGCCGTACCACAGGATGGCTTCAACATCCCCACCGCGAGCATCCGCTTCAATCTGGACCCGTATAATAAATGCACAAGTGATGAAATTGTACAAGCACTGAGGAGAATTCGACTTTGGAATAAGATTGCTGCCGCCTCCACAGGTGTTGACGCTGTACTGGATCTTCCCATGTCGACCATACTTCCCTTATCTGCCGGTCAGATGCAGCTCTTCGCGCTTTGTCGGATGCTGCTCCGTGTGAGGGCGACTGCGTCGACGAAACCGATCATTATTTTCGATGAAGCTAGTTCGTCTCTGGATCGTGAGACCGAGGCTATTTTGGGAGATATTCTGCGTAAAGAACTTCAGTATCATACGGTTATTATGATTGCTCATCGAACTGAGGGGATCATGCATACTTTAAGGCCAGGTGTAGATGCCATTGCTACGATGAAGGATGGAAAGCTACGGGTATATGTTATTGGTACGTCTACAGATTGTGTTGGAGAGAGCTAGATAGTCTTTCTGCGTGTATAGTGATGGTTATAATCTGGTTGAGAATATACATTGTCCAAATACAACGAAACGTACACTGAATGAGAAGTGTGCTAAAGCAATACATGCATATGGTGCTTCAATTTATCCTTGTCGTTGACACTGCGCAGATATCTCGGATATGGATTCAGTAGAGAGTAACTCATGAATGAATCCCTTGTCCTCTTCTGGGTTATCCTTCTATTTGAGATTAGCTATAGATCTCAATGGCTAGCATATCCGCTTAATGTATCACTCACAACTCTCTCATGAAGCGGATATCTCAATAGCTTTACTCTTTCTAACTTGTTGCTCAAGGCAAATAGTTGGATCCAACTCTTCCCGTGTGTTTCGAGAAACACAAATGCCTTCGTGTTTCGGGACATGGGCTCCTCTCCGAGATAGTAATGTTCTACCCATTGGGTGCACGCATACTCCAGCTCTTGGGGAATATTATGCGTTTTCGGCTCTCCCCCGTGCTGAACAAGATTCCGTAGGTTGCTACCATCTTGCCCACATGCTTCATTCAGGAGGTCAAGGCAAGCATCCGCTAGCATACAATGGCTCTGTTTTCGTGTTAATTGAAGGTCTGGGTGCCCCAGTTGACCCAGGTACCCGGCAAAGGATATATGGAGGAAGTTGATAGGTTTGTCACCATCCTCTGGAACATCCACAATAGAATGCAAGTCCTCTAGCATGGAGTCAATGTCCACCCGTATCAGTTTTCCAGAGACACTTCTTGGCAGACTACCAAGAATATGTTTGGGAACCCACAATACTCGCGAAATAGAGTTCCAGTAGGTTGCTTTCTCTTTCTCACTCCATGATTCGTTGACTGAGCCATCTAAGACGCTGGTATAGATTTGATATAACTGTTCAGTTGGAGTTCCTTTTTCCCGGCTTTTTTGCTCTATGTCTCTCAGTCTCTGCCTGATAATCTGGTGGTTTCTAGCATCTCGGACATATTGACAAGCAGTGGCCGCCCAGAGGAAGAGACCCTGGGCAAGACGAACGAAATACGCCACGATTCCGTTCCATGCAGGCTCTGCTTCGAACGGGGCCAGGAGCTTGCCAATCTCGTGGTCCAAGAAGATGCTTATATCTGAGTCAACGACCCTTTGTTCAATATCCTGTAGTTTCAACCTTCTATGCTGAATTCTGGAAAGTTGTGACCGAATGGCGGATTCTGGTCGACTCGCCACAAAGACAAGCACCTTGTTTTCACACGCCTGAGTAATGCCAGATAGTAGACGAAGAATCAAGCGTTGATCTTCCTTATCCGGGCACAAATCCAAGCCATCAACCACAATAAGTATCGGATTCTTATCGTGCTTCTGGGTGAATGCCATAAGTGGCTCCTTCACAAGCCGTGTCCACTGTTCCGACAACCCGTGATAGGGTAAAAGAGGACATCGTTCCAACACATCCTGAATAGCATTTTTCATGCTTGTATCGAAGTTGGCCAGCTGACAAGCAACTGTTGATGCGAAGGAGTCCGCACTACTAGCGTCTCCATTTGTATCTGTAAAGAAAAAGCTCGCAGCCAGCCGCGACTGCTGATCATAATTTCGAGCCACTGTGCGAGCAACCGTCGTCTTTCCAGTGCCTACCATTCCACTAAGCCAGAATATACCCTCGTCATGGTTTGTCTCAATCCATTCTGCTATGTCCTTCAACAAATCCACACGGGTGCCTTCGGGGCAGAATGAGTCGTGCTCCCTTTCCCGGGAGTTGAAGCAAGCACTTTTTGCGAATTGCAAAGTCGAGAATATTTGGACATCTCCTGTCTGGCCTCAGCCCGCTGCTATGGTAGATGGACTGCAAATGTACTCACCGGTACCCATATAGACCTTTTCTCCCGATACACTGCCGAAGTTGTACTGCTTTCCGGTTCCAGCATAGAATTGGCCTGAAAGGGCCGGTCCGACAATTGCTTCCCCTCCCATATTGCCGAACGGTATGAGATGCTTGAAGGAAATGGTGAACACACCCAATGTCCGGGCGGAGATAATGAGACAGTTTTGTAAGCGCCAGGCTAGACATCTACCCCTCAGCAAGTGCATTTAGTCTGGCCAATAACCGCTCGATATCTAGCGCCTGGACGCTGATCCCGGATACCTGTTCTGCGAGCCTTTTCTGCTCAGTTAAAATGGCTTTTATACAAACAAGGAGCATTTTTTATGACTTCTGCAATAGAAGCCCCGTGGTCATATTTACCTGCCGTCGAGCTATATCAGCCCAATGGCTCTGTCACAAGATTACACAGTTGGTATATTCTGCCCACTCGAAGTCGAAATATGTGCCATCCATTATATGCTAGATGAGGTGCACAAGCAAACACAATCCCGAACGACCCGATATGTGTTGGGTAATCTCAGCGGGCACAGCGTCGTAATCGCCACAATGCCGTACACATTCAGGGGAAAGATCTCCACGGCGACCGCTGTCAGTCAGCTGAAGCAAGACTTTCCTAACATCTCTCATCTCCTGCTTGTCGGCATTGGCGGTGGTATACCCACTCAGGGAGTCGATGTTCGGCTAGGAGATGTAGTCATCAGCACCCCTACAGGAACAAATCCTGGAGTGGTCCAATACGACTTGGGCACAGCATATCAAGATAGGTTTGTGCGAGCCGAGCAGCATCTCCTGCCTCCTCCACTGGAATGGCTACACGCTATCTCTAGAATGAAGGTTACACATCGAATGGAAGGTGACAATGTTGATCAGTTCATCGAAGAGCTACATGCACGCTGTGCGCATCAAGCTTTTGTTCGCCCATCAATTGATACAGATACCCTTTTTGAGCCCACATATGATCATGTCGAAGGTGAAGCAACCTGCAATCAATGTAACCGAGACAGGGTTACTCAGAGACCGCCACGCTCCGATCCAACCAAGCCAGTCATACATTACGGACTCATCCTTTCCGGTGACTCTGTGATAAAAGACGCAGCAACCAGAGACCAGATCGCCAGCGATGAAGGTGGAGCCATCTGTTTCGAAATGGAAGCTGCAGCGATGATGAACGATTTTCCCTGTTTGGTCATTCGAGGAATATGCGATTACGCCGATTCGCACAAGAACGATGTATGGCATGAGTATGCCGCTGCCGCTGCTGCTGCTGTAGCCAAGGAAATTCTTCGGTTTATTGAGCCTAGTGAGTCAATTGTCGCCGGATTCATTGCGCAACTGGTAACATTTCCAATGCAGTTGTTCCTCGAATCGAAGATGATCACAACTCTTCATCTGCAGGTACTATGTCCTCGAATGGGGCAATCACAGGCACCTTTTATGCGCAGAATGGCACTATCACCAACATTCAGACTATGACAGCAGCCGGGAATATCTATTTCGGATGAATCTACCCGCTTATTCGGCATCGCTACCGAGTAGTTAATATCAGCCACCATTCCATGGTTCCCAGTCCATTATGGTTGCATCCCGCACATCTAGAGTACAGGGTCAGAGTTAACCAGATACGGTGACATCATACTCACATTCCAACTCCCAACGACAACCCTCAATTCTGCACATCACCTTCACATCCACCTTAAAACATGCCCAATTGACTCAATTATTCCGTTGGCTCTCAATCACAACCCACCTTTTTACATCCGCCCAACATGCCCCAACAATCCCCTCCACCCACCGTGATATTCTGGCACCGCACCGACCTGCGCCTACACGACAACCCAGCCCTACAAGCCGCCCTCTCCCTCAACCCATCGACATTCATCCCAATCTTCACCTGGGACCCGCACTACGCATACCGGGTCCGCGTAGGTCCAAACCGATGGCGCTTCCTGCTAGAATGCCAGGACGACCTGTCGCAGTCCTACCACAAGCTGAACCCGAAGCAGAAGCTGTGGGTAATACGTGAAGCACCTCAAACAGTTTTCCCCAAGTTATTCGAATCATGGGGTGCGACACATCTCGTATTCGAAAGTGATACAGATGGGTATGCGCGGGAGCGCGATGAGACAGTCATGAAGTTAGCGAAGGAGGCTGGGGTAGAGGTTATAGTGAAGTCCGGACGGACGTTGTTTGATTCAGACGAGGTGGTGAAACATAATAAAGGCGAGCCGACGATGAGTATTCATCAGGTCGAGAAGGCTGTTGAACAGATAAATAATGGGGTGCCGGATAGGCCTGTTGATGCGCCGGAGAGTGTACCTGATCCGTTGGGGGAGGAGGAAATGAGGGCGTTGAGTGGAGTTGACCATGAGGTTCCAGATCAGGAAGATGATCTAAATGCTGCGCATCGAACTAAGCACAACGACAATCAATACAAGAACATAGCAGGTCCCAACGGCGACTTCTCCATCCCCACACTGAACGAACTCTCCATCGACCCCAGCCAAGCAACATCTCCCCACCACGGCGGCGAATCCATCGCCCTAGAGATGCTACGCACCTACCTCCAACAAAACGAAGACTTCGTCGCGACATTCGAAAAACCCAAGACTTCCCCAGCGGCATTCCACCCACAAGCGACAACCCTTCTCTCGCCGCATCTGCACTTCGGCTCCCTCTCCGTGCGCAAATTCTGGCACGACGTGCAGGATACTCTCCAACAGCGCGAATCAGCCCACAAACCTACATCGGACATTCCCACCAATCTCCCTGGCCAGCTTCTCTTCCGAGAAATGTTCTTCGCCGCGCAAGCAGCTCTGGGACCAGTGTATGCGCAAGCACGCGGAAACAAGATCGCGCGGTTCATTCCGTGGCATTTACAATCTAATCACGATAAGGAGACGGGATTAGTTGACAGGACTTATACCATCGATGATGAGCAAGCGGAGGTATGGTTCCGACGGTGGAAGGAAGGGCGGACGGGATTTCCGTGGATCGATGCATTAATGAGACAGCTGAAGTATGAGGGGTGGATTCACCATCTGGGGAGACATAGTGTCGCATGTTTTCTGACGAGGGGGGGATGTTACGTGCATTGGGAGAGGGGGGCGGAGGTGTTCGAGGAGTGGTTGGTTGATCGTATGACTCCCTTCCCTTTCTTTCTCTTTTTCGTTTCCATTTTGATAATGATATGATGCTAATAATAGAGTAATAGACGAAACAGCCTCTAATGTCGGAAACTGGATGTGGCTGTCCTGCACGGCATTCTTTACGCAGTTTTATAGATGCTATTCGCCGGTGGCGTTCGGGAAGAAGTGGGACCCAGAAGGGCTGTTCGTGAGATACTATGTTCCGGAGCTGAAACATTATGATAAGAAGTATATTTATGAGCCGTGGAAGGCGCCGGTAGAGGACCAGAAGAGGTGGGAGTGTCGGGTAACTGGGGATGGGATGGTCGAGAAGGATGAAGAGACCGGATTAACAACGTACCCGGAGCCGATGTTCGACTTTGATGAGAGAAGACAGACGTGTATTGCGCAGATGAAGGAGGCGTACGGGGTGCATCTTATGGGAGATGATGAGAAGGTTATGGATGGGTCGTGGAAGGAGGTGTTTGGGTATGAGGTTAAGGATGGGAGGGTGGTGGATGAGACGAATGAGAGGGTGGATGGGGATGGTGGTGATGATGAGGGAGGGCAGAAACGGGGGCGAGAAGTAGGGGATCAGAGTGGTGACGATGGAGATGGAGGACATACTTCGAAGAAGAAAAAATAGAATGCTGAAGGCTAGTTATTCAATACACGGTATCATCTTTTTACTAGTATTGAGCATTTCCTCCGTGTTGTTGACCTCTATGTACTTTGGTACCTGAGAACGGATTGTCTGCGGCCCTGCAGCGCCTGGAAGATCAGATCAGCGTGCTTTCCCCAATTCTTGGTATGGCAAACCCATGGTAATACCCTATTAAAGCAGATTTGCCGATGAAAGTGGAAACTCGCTTAGTTCTGGAAGGGTGCCCTGGTTCGCAGTGTCCGAGTCACCTTTGAGGTCGAAGATGCACTTGAAAGTGTAGACGAACTCATCCGTGTGCATCTGAAGTGAGAGAAATGTGATTTAGGGTATGTGCGCGTGTTTCGAGGCAAACACTAAAGTGAGGGAGAAGAGGGTGGCGCCGCGGAAAGAAGTGTTGAAACTAAGAAAAGACGAAAACAATAGGAGACGGAAATTATGATGGGATGGTGGTTGTTGGACGCGGAAAGAAAGTTGGGAAAGGAAGAAGACAGACGTGAGTTAGGGAAAGCAAAGAGGTGAATGACTTGAAGACAACGCTGTCCCATTTGTGAGCGTTGGCTATACCCTCACCTTCCAAATCGGGAACGGCAAGCGGATCTAGAGAGTCGCTCGTTTGAAACCAATAGCCCTTAAACCCCTCAGACCCATGTAACCCACGAAGTAACGCATGCCATGGCATAGGAAGGTCGTTGCTGTAGTTGATCACAACTGAATACAACAGAAGCAAAGCGTAGTCATATAAATGGCAAATTTGAGGTGTAAATGAGTTTTGCAACTGACTGGCTAGCTGCCAGCCCATTACCTCTGAGTTCACCGTCCTCTCGTTTTTCGCCCCATTTCTTACTTCCAACGTGTTTGTTCCTTCTTATACATAACCTGCTGACTTAGATAGGGCTATATCCATTCAGGATAGGTATACCTGAACAAACTGGTTTGATCCTATATGTGTCGTGGAGGGGAGTGTCTAGATGTGAACAAGATGATGGAAGGGTTGAGTATTATATCTATAACCGTCTCCGTTTACATTTATATTCCCTATCCAGAAACGAACCCTTATAAACATCCTCCCACTCGCTACCACTACCACTACTACTATCACTATCACCCCGTCTCTTCACTCCCAGCCCCTGTCCCATACCAACACCATGGACATGAGAAGGATACACATACACTCTCTCATCACATCCCCATTCGCCTAAAAACCAGTAAGCACACATACACACACAAATTCAAACAAGCCTCCCTCTCAACGGAAGCGAAAAACATACCTATACCCCCGCCACCCATACTACTAAAAGTACCAGGATGTTTATATTTATGACCCAGAAGAAACAACAGATCGTGAATATGTAACCGTCTCCTCAGTCCCTCACGAAGAAGCGCATGTTGATATCGTCGATGATGTAGTCTATTCTTTAGATCGTGGGTTGTTTGTTCGTGTGTTGATTGGTTTTGGTGGTTCATAGGGTGCTGTTGATGGGTATGATGTGGTCTGTGATGTATGAGTTTGTTTATATGTGCCTGTGCGTACTGATATTGATTTGGTAGTGGGTTATAGCAGTAAACTGGATGTGTAGTAATGGGAAGTTGTTTCGGATGGTGGTAAGTCGGTATTGGAATTTGTAGGGGTGCGGAGATATTCTGATGGTGGTCTTGAGGGATATAATATATCCTCTGTTCATGGGGGTAGTAGTATGATGAGGATAACATGATAATAGAATCCTGGATTATCAGAGACTGGAAATATAGTGTGCACACTACTAAAGATAAGATCGGATATACTCCACATATTAATACTACTGATACTCAGAGTACTCCCTTTGGCTACTCAATATATCTACATGATAAGGCTGACTGAATACTACGCAAGTCTTCAGCTTAGCTCACGCGTCATACTGGATTCCAGCGCTAGATCTCCTCGGTTACAGCGCTCCAGCCGTCTTATTGGATCGTTCACTATGGGGTGCTACCTGCCACGACACGGCGTGCGTCAGCTCCCACTAGCCAAGCGCCAGCGGCCGTTTCAGCTCTAAGGATCCACTTTGGATCTCAGCATTGACATACAAATTCCAATCTAGAATAGCTACAAGATATCTTCAATTAATTCTTTCACCCGCTGTCTCATGCTTTTCACTATTGCCATCCATCGAATCGTCTACTGTACATTATTCATAAGAAGATACGGCCCAGGCCGAACAATCCAACCAGGATTAAAAGTGAAAGATCGAAGAAGAATGAGAACAAAAGATGGCTCTAAGAATAATACACACCACACTCCCACGGTATAGACAGAGATGGCGGTGACTGTGCAGCGACAATGTAATCAAAAGATGAAATTATCAACACCTCTCACTCCAAGTCTATCGAGGTGGGTGCTGTGACATTGGCCCAGGCAATGGCCCGGCATTAGACCCCTGACTGTACACTCGGTGGTGGCCTGGCGTAGGGTGACCTCCCGGCACCGCCTCCACAAGCGTTCCAGGTCCCCCGGGTCGTGCTTGAAGTGGGTGCATCGACCCAACGGCCGCAGGTCCACTGGGCGCATAGCTCAGCCCTCCGCCAGGACTTGGCTGCAAGATTGCTGGGGGTGTGTAGGAGCGACCCATCGACATCGACTGCGGCCCCGGTCCAGGCAAGCCCGCTGCCCGGGAGACCGATGCCTGCGGGGGTGGAGTGTTGTGACCGTACGGCCCACTAGCCAATCCAAGCGTCT